GTTATAGCTATTATACTAACTATGTCAACAATGTTGATAATGTTATTAATGTCAATAATGTCAACAATGTCAATAATATCATTAATGTCACTTATATCAACAATGTCATTAATATCATGTAATACATGTAGATCAATTTGTAGATCAATCTTATAAATTATTCTGTTGATCAATTCTGCAAATCCCTTTTGTAGATCGATTTTGCAGATCACTTTGTAGATCCGTTTACACTATATAGGATATATGGTAAGTACTACTTCTAGTATCAGCTATAAAATAACCCTGTAACGCTATTTTTCTTATTTAATAATTTTTTTAAATAGGGGTGAAGAGGGAATTTAGCTAGCACTGTACGAAAAGGATCTCATAAATTTGCACGAAAACCTGATTATATGACTATAATGCAACTAGAGAAAGATGCAGAGCTTGAAGTTATATACCTTGAAACTGGCAGGTCAAATTCCAATCAAGACAAATGCTAGCGAGACCACAAAAATTAGTACAATTTTCTAAAGATTCTATCGACACTACTAGAAAAATATCAAAGCTTAAGAGGGTATTTAATATTTCATCTAAGAGACAGATGTTATCTATATTTGCTATAAACATTGCAGGTAATGCATTATGCAAAAGCGTCTATGACTATTTTTTTTCACATTTTACTCTTGTATTATAAATCAATAATTCTTAACCATATTGCTTTCAAACATTTTTAGGCGACGTTATGGAACTATATGTCATGCGTAGAGAATCCAGTATTTACAAATATTGTCTAATAGAGGAAGTACTGATTCCACTACATATGACTTCATCAGGTGCTATATACCCTCTTATCCATACTTTGATGACATTAAGAATAGCCGTTGCAAGTACAATTCATAAAATATTATATAATACCGATTCTGAAGATAGTGAACATAATTCTGGCGAAATGACAATAACTGTTTCAACTCCAAAAAATTTATAGAATAGAGTTCGTTTTCATGCATGTAATTATTAATAAAAAAATTTTCTTGGCAAAAAATCTATTTTTATTGATTTGATGATCATGATGTCACGTGAAATTCTTGATCGAAAACGCACATAAATTAGCTTGACTACTTTTTTCCTTGTGCTTCTGCCTCACCTCTATCTCTTTCTGCAGGTTTAGTGAAGTGTCAAACCTTAGGCGGATTGCAAGAGGATCATCTTCCGACCTAGTGAGATCAAATACAATAAATTCTTTTTTTTGAAGGTAGCTATTAATGACTATTGAGGCATTTTTTACATTATCAGTATATCGCCTAATAATCTTAGAAATATCTTCATGTGAGCTATCAGAATTACAAATTACTATGTGAGGCATTTTCATGAAAAATTATTGGTATATAATGATAACGTTGTGTTACATATATGCTTGAAATGTTTCTATGACGTCCATATGTAAAAAATGGAATGATTCGATTTTGAATGGATTCAGGAGCCACACATAAATCCTCAAAAACAATTGCTGTACTTCTCTCAGGCGAAAATGCTCTTATACTGGGAATTTTTTCAGGTGAGATATAGCTGAAAGTGATATTTTCATAGTAAGGTGCTTTTGGATCTTTTGAAATTATGCCATATATATATCTTACAAATGCCTACTTCAGCTCATCAGGATGGTAACCACAAACTATCAAATCATCACATGCAATATATCTAGAGCCATCTTTCTTACCTTTAATTATGCATTCAGCTTTAGTACCGAGAAAAAGATTTCCCAAAATATTAGTCTTACCTGAGCCACTTTTTCCAGTGACTGACATGGTGAAAGGCCCATTAGAATTAATTTCCAAAAAGTCTGATCGAATCGAAGGTTATTTACTCCATACATTAGAGGTTTATAAAAATTCATTAAACTGGAAACGCAAAACTATGAATACACTCCCGGCATTACCACCGAAATTTTGTATTTGCTGAGATCGACAAATCATCTGATCATGGTCGTACAATAATGTTTAATAAAAAAGACCCGCGATACTACGTGACGTGTAATCTTCTATGTTTAACAAAAAGGTTCACGATTACTTCAAACGAAAGACTGAGGAGTGGTGTATTGTAGGTTTTCTAAAAGACTGCAACGAAGAACCTTTAAAACGGAAGATAGATATATATATTAAATCGCTTGAAACCATTATGAATACTGAGCAAGAATCTAAAAGGCATGACAAGGCAAAGTTACTCTATGACAATTATAAGAAGGCAAGTAAAAAACTTTTTACTGGAAATAAGATGGGAATGGTGGCGTGGCGAAAATCTGTTAGATGGTTCGTCATTCAAAACTGTTAGTTGAGCCACAAAACTAGTAATGGGGCACAAATGACCTGCTAGCTTGTTTGATGTTAAAAGACTGTTAGTCGATCCAGCACTAGACCCGTCGGGGCACAGATGACCTGCTAGCTTGTCTGATGTTCTGGCGGGATCAGAAATAAAGTGGTACCGGAGACGTGTTGTTTGAAGGATAATACTAATTTCTAAAGTCTTCATGCTAGGAGCTTAAACCGGATAAAAGTAAAGCAAAATTTGGGAAATGGAACGTTCTCGTAAGCAAGTCCATATCCATCAACCAATCGTTACAGAGAATTTAACCGGAACTATTGCTACTGGAACTGTCAATGGCGGTATCGTAAATGGACTGCCCATGTCAACGTATGAAATAGCAGACAGGAAGAATTCCAAGAGAAAAGTTACCAATGATGATACAGACAAGGACGATACAGATGCATCAACATCACCCACAAAAAAGGTAACAATCACTCTTCAAAGATATTCTATTAGTGTGTTTTCACATTAGTTTATATGTCTACATTAAAATTTTAGGATCAGATCGATAGTTTTTTTCAAAGCTCCACTGAACAAAATCAAACCAATGCGACTATAAAACGGCGGAAATCGGATGAAGAAGACATTCCCAACGAGGAGGACGAGGTATGGTATTCACATTGTTAAATTATCAATATTAATGGCTTCAAGCTCAAGGGATTTATACAAGATTGTATTTACTTGTCTAATGCTTTTTTTATGAACAGCTTACTAGTTATTTATACTCACAAGAAGTATTAAATGAAGGAGTCGAATTATCAACTTGTAAAAAGGTAAAAAATTATAAGTAGTAAAGCTACAGGAACGTAAAAGCTTATGTTTTTTTCTATACTTAGGCGAAAAAAGCTACAAGAGTTGCTTCAAAAACAAATACTCGGAAATCAAAAAAAAATGCTTCAGAGACAAGTACTCGGAATAATAATGAAAAGTCTTCTTCTGAGCAGTCTTCCTCTTCTGATTTAGTGCCCGAGGATGACGAAGAAATAAAGCTTGATTTTACAAGCATTGAAAAAGAATTGTTACGGGAACAATCAAATGAGGTACATATCAAGATTCTGGTGCTTTTACTCTGCATATCTCAACAGTTTACATCCGTTTTTAGTGGGAAGTCGGTACCATAAATGTATCGCAAAGATTTAGAAAATATCAAATAGAAGTACTTGAGAAAGCGAAGACTGATGGACTAAAATGGGGTGATTTTCATGAAGTGTTGTAAGTATTTTTGGTCATGTAATGATTATATTCCATGCTAATGATTTCTATTATGCTTGATAGGGCATTGTCTTCCGTAATTGTCTTAAATTCGCCTTGCCCCTATCCTGATCATATTTTCACCACTCGGGAATGGCGGACGATTACACGTGAGAATCGCTATGTTATAACTGAACCGGTACTGCCATCGGATGTGTGTTTCTCCTTACGGAATTCTTTGGCCGAATTCATGGAAGGCAAGGCCCCTTTTTTATCCTTGGGAGATTCCGAAATCGGGCGGGTGGTCTCACGAATATTTAATGACATGTAAGTTTTTATCCCATAACATATCTAAAACTGAGATCAGATCTGCCTTAACTTTTTATTTCATGTATAACAGGTGTAGCAGTGTTCCTAAAGTTGCTCCAACAAAAACTTCAGAGGATGAGCACTGCTTCAAGTTGCTACATCCAATCATCCGTCCATTTTTTTTCACTGATTCACGCGAAGAATATGTTATTCGACTGAATCGTACTACTAGCGGTACGGCGACAAGGCCTGATTTTTCGTGCCTGGTTAACGATATTCCTATCTTGAATTCGGAGATAAAGCCACCCGGATTCACACCTCTCCAAGGACAAAAGGACAAGTTGAAGGTACAGTTGAGAGCGCGAAAGTCAATCAATCAATTATTAAGAACGAAAGGTGGACCAGACGAAACGGTTTTGCTAACAAATCAAGGTATGTTTGCTTGTAATCGGTAAAGCTTGATTCAAGTTCAATTAAATATATTAACAATGCCTTCAGGAGATTTGGTAGAATCACACATAATGGATCTGAGATACGATGGACTTTATCGTTCATGGCCGTTTTTAACTACACGATTAATCAAGGATAAAACGACCATTCCTTTAATGGAGTCGAATATCCGCCACATTAAAGCATTAGAGGTACATATATACTACATATTTCATTTTCAGGTTTGCAATGAAACAGCTAACGACATATTTTGTTTATATTCTGATTGGTAGGAACGCATCAGCAAAATTGCTGAGGATTACAATTCCCGAGGTTGCCAAAGTGAAATAACTCCATTACAAACACGATATATGAGAGACTTACCAAATAGTCCGCAAATAAAAAAGATACTTAATATTTGATTGACAAACTTCGAGTGTGGTTAGGTTAATGTGCAAGTTTATTTTTATGGAATAATCGGTTTATTTTTAGCATTTTAATATGTAATCTTTATGCATGATTACTATGTAATAATTATAAATAGTAAAATACTTTACCGCTTTTGCGTTTTAAATAAATCATTGTAGTGCGTATATGATTGTGACATAATCCAGTCTCCTATTATTTTCGCATGCATCACGAAAAATGATATGCATATCTTTATATAACACAAAAAAATTTACAGTCCATTACGAAAAATAATGCATACATGTAACAATCAGAGCATTTAAAGCTTTAAGTTTAATCAATGAGGCCTAATTCCCGAAGATGTTCTGGAATAACTACATATGGGTCTTCGTAATACCAAACATACCTTAGAGCAATACAGTTTTCTTCGCATAATTCTTTCTTGAGTTGATCCCGTGCTTGCTGTTTGATAAAATTATTAGGATCGCCTCTATGAAAGAATTCTATATATTTTTCGTGTTGTTCTCCTTGTACTTCGGTTGCAAATCCATATTGCGGGTAATAAATGTCAAGTTCTAATCCAGTTGGGTGATCTAAAGTTTTAAGAAAATCAGGTCGACGTATCTTAGATGGCGGTCCAAGATATTTTGACATAATCTCTTGACACAATCTTTCACGTTTATATCTAGAGCAATATGGGCACCAATAGTTTTTGCACTGAGGGGAGTGAGCCATTCGTGTGATTTGGAACATTTCCAATGCAAATATGTTTTATGGTTGGTGTACACATTGGATAAACACTCTCCATCTTTACTACATGCTATTTTTTTAGCATATTCGATACCAAGTCTTGCAGATTCACGTACACAATGTGAGCACCAAGTCCCTCTTTGAATACTATCAATCCGAGCAAACCATGAATGTCCTTCAGAACATCTCCAAGAGAGTGGAGTACGTCTATTATGATAAGAACTAGAAAGACATGTCCCACCCCTTTCATTTGCAAGATTCTGAGCGAATTCAAGTCCAAGTTTCATGCACTCACGACACCAACTTCCTTTATTTTTAACATCTGAAAGAGATAGGTGAAATTGATGATTATTTTTGCATTCCCATATGAGAGGTGAGCTATTGTTAACATAATTCTCAGAAATATACTTTAAATTTTTAGCACATGCTAATTCTTTGGCCACTGAAATATTGAGTTTCTATTTGTGCAATAAGGACACCATGAATGGCGATTTTTGATAGATTGAAATGAACAATTCTATTGATGGTTTTTATTACATTCCCAAAGCATTGGAATTTCACAATTGACATATTCTTTGGAAAGGCATTTTTCTCCACAAGATTCTGCTATCTTTATTGCATCATCTAAAGAAAATTTTTTTGACATTGCGGTTAACACAAATATGTTTCTTGAATAATTATCCTACTTTTCAAAATACTATGGAGTATTACGAATTATGCAAATTAGATGAAACAATACCTTCGAAAAAACAGAATCAATTCGCTCCTAAACATCCATTTAGACTACTAGTTGCAGGCACCTCTGAGTCTGGAAAGACGAGCATGGTAGTACATCTGCTCCTAGGAAGTAAATATCCAAAAATATATCCGTGATGTCTGGTGAAAAGCATGGTCATAAAATACCAAAAGGCGGAAGCAAAAATTTTGGCGAAAGGTATATTCCGTATGATGATCTAATTGTTGTTATGCAATACCAAGATGAAGAATTATGGGATGCAGTACAATGTTTTTATGAATTTATAGCTATAGATAAGCAAATTCCATAGTATAAAAATGTGAGATTCAAGCTAATTGTATCTGAAGAACTACCTGATATTTCATCTTTTAAAAGAACTGGCTAATTTACTGTTATTGTCTTTGATGATCTTGCTGAAGAACCTTTGGCAACTCAGCTAAAAATCGTTCCTTTCTTTAGATCAGGCAGACATGATGGAATTAGTTTAATTTATATTGCCCAACGTTTTTATGAAACCCATCCAAATATACACGCAAATCTTAAATATATTTCATTGCATCGTGGTTGTGGAACATTAGATAGTATAAAGCGAATTCTTAAAGATATACATGATGATTATGAGCCTCTAGCAAAAAAAATTTATGAAGTAATAAGAAATCACTTTGTGATTATTGATATCTGAAAACCATTTGATGACTCCTTATCAATTAGATTTAGATGGGACAACCCTTTGAAAGATAGCTGAATTCGAGATGATTCGTGCTTTATGACCTCATTCATATCCATAAGGTAAAATTTCATAGGGGGTAGTCCTGTTTTTTGGTTCTTCTGCATTGTGGATTGGGAATGCATAACTTTGATTTCTATTTAAGAGTATTTTATAGTTCAGAATATTTTTTTCTTCATTCGAATATAGACGAGAAAATACGTACTATAAGATGTATATAATTAGTAATACTATGATGAAGATGATTGCATACTGAAAAAGGAAGGAATTAGGTGATACTGAGGTTGTTCAAGACTAGTGATGTCATTATCTTTCTCCAGTCTACTAACATCTCCACTCATCTCATTATGCTTAGAGTCACTAGATATTTTTGGAATCTGCTCTACTAAATGAGCATTAGCTAATGATCTCTTGAGCTGACTCGACTCCGCTTCTTGAAGAAGAAAATCTTTCTCCATCAATGTCTTTTACACTAAAACTAAATCATCCTTCATCTGTAATAATTCATCCTTTTTTTCAGCCAGTGAATCTTCTAATTCTTCTTTCGTTAAAAATAAACTAATGTTTTTATTAGATAGTTCAACTTTTTCTAGTTCGAATTTAAGTTTGAAAGAGTCCATTTCTGATAAGTTCTCCTGTGCTAAAGAAATATCCTGCTTTAATTCCTCCACCTTAGATTGGAGAGCCTGCATCTCTTCTGTCATCTTGGATTGGAGGGCTTGCATCTCTTCTGATTTTATAGTGAATTTGTTCTCAGCATCTGCAAGAGAAATATCCTTATGAGTAATTTGAAGTTTGAGATTATTTATCTCTGTGTGTAACTGCCTTATCTCATCTCTAAGCTTAGGATTATTTATCTCTGACTGTAACTGTATTTCTCTTTCCTGAGCTGATGTATCCGATTGGAAAGTTTTTTTTTTCTTTTTTAGATTTATTAAGATCATCCTGTATGCGCTTACTTTCTTTTTTTGATTGATTAAGATCATCCTGTATGCGTTTATTTTCTCTATCTAAGATATCATAACTATCTGCAAACTGACTCCCCCAATATATAGCAACTTTACAGTTTTTTTTGCACAAGAAAGTTGCTCTACAAGTTCTGTTCGGCTAGAAGGATAATAATTAGCTGGAGAATTTCCAAGTTTATTACCATTATCCAAATCTTTTAAGGTATAGATCTGAGGCATTTTATTAGTATTTTTTTTTACTTTAAACTAGGGATCTGCAATTCAATTTGATATTTGAATATTTGATTTGATCAAATTCAAATCAAAAAATGATTTATTTGATCAAATCCAAATCAATATTTGATTCGATTCGATCAAATTCAAATCAAGTATTCAAATATTTGATTTAATTCGAATCAATAGTAAAGCCATCTCCAAAGCCTCAGGAATAATTCTTACTAAGAAAACTATAGTAAAAAGCACCTTCACAACTTTGGAAATACCTTTTTTACTATGAAAAACATAGTAAAAATCCCTTCACAGCTTTAGAAATATCTTTTTACTAAGAAAAATATAGTAAAAAACGCCTTTACGGCTTTCAGAGACATTATTTTACTAATAAAACATAATAAAAAACATTATTTTACTAAGAAAACATAGTAAAAAATGCCTTCGCAGCTTCAGAGATGCTACTTTACTAAGAAACCTAGTAAAAAACGCCTCTGCAGCTTCAAAAACATTTTTTTACTAAGTAATCTAGTAAAAAACGCCTCTGCAACTTCAGAAACGTTTTTTATTAAGTAATCTAGTAAAAACACCTCCGCAACTTCGAAAACATTTTTTTACTAAGAAACCTAGTAAAAAACGCCTTCATAGCTTCGGAAACGTTTTTTTAATAATAAAATGATTACGAAGCCGAGATAGCGGTTATTACTAAGTTTTCTTAGTAAAACTGAAGCTGCAATAGCAGTTATTACTAAGTTTCTTAGTAAACCGAAGCTGTGATGTTAGTTATTACTAAGTTTTCTTAATAAACTGAAGTCGCGATAGCGGTTATTACTAAGTTTTCTTAGTAATCTTAGTAAACCGAAGCTGCGAGACGGTTATTACTAAGTTTTCTTAGTATACTGAAGCCGCAATAGCGGTTATTACTAAATTTTCTTAGTAAAACCGATACTGCGAAGTTATTTTACTAAGTTTAATAGTAAAAATTCACCTGTTACTAAACTTACTTTATAAAAGCTATTTTTGAAATTTTTTAGTGCAATTACTAATAATTTTCTTAATTAAACCTTTATAATAACTTTATTTTAATATATCATTGTAAAAATTAAAAAAATTTTTTATATTTGATTCAATTTGATTCAATCAAATCAAATTCAAATTGCTTAAATATTTGATTCGATTCGATTTTGAGGAACCCTACTTTAGACAATAAAAAATTCAGCCAGAGGCCTTAAACTTGTAAGAAAGCAGATTATTTTTTTTTTGACAAATCTAATGCCTATTGATATTTATTGAAAAAAAGAGTACTAATATGTACTAAAAGGCACTGACACTTATTCATACTTATTGATACGTACTGAAAGAGAATACTAATATGTATTGAAGGACACTGATATATATTGAAGGACACCAATATGTATTGAAAAGCATTGACTCATATTGAAAGGCACTGATATGTATTGAATCACCAGAAATATTGATACACATTGAAAAGTATTGAAAAAATTATTGGTAGTTTTTTTTTGCATATATATTCTGACTAAAAAAATAGTCACCTATCTCCATGAAAAATTTTACTGATCCAATGCAACTCAGTTGTCAGAATCTGATATTAAAGAGATTAGAGAG